ATCTCACCACTGGGGAGACTGGCAAGAGGACTGCTGCAGACTGAAGGCCCATCTGAACTAACAGCAAGACCCTGTCTCAAAAACAAAAAACCACACAAACACACAGACCCAAAACCCAACCCAACCCAACCCAACCCAACAGTCCTCATTCAGGGACCTCTGGTTCCAAATCATTTATTCCCAAGCTGGGTAAAAGATTGGTGATGTCCCATTTCTGCTACCAACAAAAATCATCTAAAGAGAACCATGTGGAGAGTCACAAGGGTTCTTGCTGACCATCATCATCTTAGGGTTGCTCATAGTGCCAAAAGAAGGGCGCTAACTCACAGCCAACATCACAATCCACAGTACTGGCCACTAGACTGTACTTGTCTTGAAGTTATGGGGTTTGGTGAGTACAAGTGCAAAGCTTCCTGCCCTCTGAGCCAAACCTCAGATATGAAGAAGTACCTACAACCTGCGACTCACAATTTAGAGACCTCATTACAGGTTTCATGCATGGAAAGAGAAGGGAGGAGAGAGGAGGGAAGGAGAGGGGAGGGGAGGAGAAGAGAAGCGAAGCGAAGCAAAAGCAAGCAAAACTTATCTTTAAAATATGGAAGGGGCTAGGTGTATGACACATGCCTGCAATCTCAGCACTCGGGAGACTAAGGCAGGAGGATTGCTGAGAATTCATCCGCCTGGGCTATGTGGTGAGTTCAAAGCCAGCCTGAATTACATAGCAAGACCCTTTCTCTTATAAAAAAGTCAAGCCCAGCCTAGACAATTTAGTGAAATCTGTCTCAAAAAGAAGGGCTGGAGATATGGCTCAGAATGCAGTCCTTCCAGTCAATTTCCTATGTCCCTAAAACAGTCAACCAATAGAAGTTGTATGTTGGCACATATTTAAAATCTCAGCTACTTGGGAGCTAAGACAAGAGGATTGCAAGTTAAGTCACTCTGTGCCTTGTCTAGTGAGACCCTGTCTCAAAAAATAAAATTAAAATACAAAGGCTCGAGGAAATAGCTGAGTGGTACAGCATTTGCCTAGCATGTGTAAGGCCCTGAGTTCAATGACCAGGAAAAATAAACACTATATATGTATATGCGTCTGAGCTGTATACATATAGCCTGGCCCATATATATCTGGCAAGTGCAAAGTCGAAAGTTCAATTCTCAGTACCAAAACAAAAAACAAAAAAACCATACAAACATACAGAACACCCTTCACCAACACACACATATCAGGTCTCTAAAGGAAGACACATTTTGCATGGTATGTCACGGAGTACTTCATCTTAGAGTCTTTCATAATATCTGAATGCCAGGGAAATCTTGCCCAACTGCTATTGTATTTTACCTCATAAGTCCTACATATTTCAGAATCATGATTTTCCTTTGGCTGGTCTTACCTCTAAGTGTAGATTCAAGCTTCCTTTCTGGGTACCGACTGCCTGACTTAATTTTACTTTCTAGCCCAGCCTACCTACACAAGCACCATGTAAAAGGGTAGTGGTGTAGCTCAGTAGTAGAGCACTTAGCATGTACAAAGCTCTGGGTTTCATTCCCAACACAGCCTCCCCATCCACACAAATCTTACCACACAATTTATGTAAGCTAGCTCTATATACTTCTTTTCAAAGTATTTATAAAGTCAACATCAAAAACCAAAATATATGCAGGGAAATTCCACACCAATAGCGGTTGTATTTTCCAAATTTTTACAATGTGCTGACCTACTTTTATAATAGAAAATCTTAAACCCAGCTACTTGCGAGGCTGAGGAAGGAAGACTGCAACTGCTGGGTCAATCAGGGCAAGTTAGAGACTGTCTTGAAACAAAAAGAAAAAGTAAACAAACAAACCAACCACCCACTACCACCATAAGTCAAAAACTAAACTCCATGTACTGTCTGGTACAGAACAAGCAGGGAAAGTGTTAGGAGGATGCCCTCATTTCCAAAGGGCTGAGGGACAGGGCAGGAAGGAAAGCCAGCAGAGGGTACTTGCAGGAGCCCTGGGCCTCATAGTCCCTGAGAATGAAGTGCTCAGGGTTCACCTGCAGCCGGTTCAGCTCTACAGTCTGCTGGGTTTTTACTCAATGTGCTTAGATTGTGGTAGACTCAGCAAAGCCTTGTCATCTTGACTCAGGTTGTGTCCTTGAAAAACTTGTATGCTGAAGTCCTGATTACCAGTACCTCAGAATGTCGGCACATTTACAATCGGGTTAAAAGTTGGTCATTATACACTATGGCTGGTGTACCTGAAGAGGTTTGGACAGAGATGTTACAGACATGTGGAGAGGCTAGAACGCATCCTCTTTCATGGCTCTCAAGAGGAACCTACCCTACCAACACACCGAACTGAATCTCAGCCTTTAGAAATGTGAGACAATATGTTTCCACTGTTTATGCCACTGAGTCTGTAGAACGTTGATACAGCAGCCCTAGCAAGTTTATACAGGGAGGGAGGCAGGTGACTGGCCACCAGCAGTCTAGCATTTGATACACATCTAATCATTTCCTCCGTACCATGGGTTATTTTTAACCAGGTATTATTTTTATCCCTGATTTACAGGAGAGAACAGAGGATGAGGGAAGTATAAAGTTCATCCCAAATAACATTAGGTGGCACACAAACCTAATTCTCAGTCTTTCTAATTCCAAGGTCCGTGTGCTTTGCATTATGCGTGCTGGGGTCTGAGACCACCATGGTTTCTTGGTCAGACACGTTCACATTATAGATGGGATGCCTCAGACCTTAATGCCCATGAGGTAAGCTTACGAGGTAAGTAATCCAAATAAATTAAGTACTTGAATAAATACATAAAGCGTTATTATCGCTTTACTAGGCCAGGTGTGGTGGCACACACCTCTAACCCCAGTACCCTAGGAAGCTGAGGCAGGAAGATTGTAACTTTGAGCCCAGCCTCAAAATAAACTACATTATTCTACAGTACACTACACTGCATTAAATAGGGGTGGGAAGGATGCTTTAAGCCAGAAGCCTGGATGAAAGTGGTTACTTTACAAAGGCAAAGAATACTAGGGGGCAGACCTTTATACCACAAAGCCACCTTCCTGGGCCCTCCTGCAGGAGATCAAATAATACAGACCTCCAGAAAGCTCACACCAACCATCTCTACAGCACTGACACTAATGAGATAAATCTGAGTCACCAGATATTTCCCTTCTTGCATGCCAGGAAACTGCCTGACCTCAAAAAAAAATTTACGCTCAAAGCTACAGAGAAATCACGAATAAATCAACCCTGTAAAACAACAGGATCTCATCCTCAGTGTGACCCTGGCTAAGGTACTTGACTTCTCCAACCTCAGTTTTCTCAGCTGAAAAACAGTAATGGGTACTGTATGTTGATCCCTTCTACCGGATGAAGCACTGAACTACCTGCCGCACACACAGAACTAATCTGATCTTTACAACAATCCCAGGGCATGGGTGTATCTCCATAGCAGTCTTATAAGCATCTCCCCCAACAACAGGGTGTGATGTGTGGGGGCTGGGGATTTAGCTCAGTGGCATAAGCTCCTGCCTTGCAAGCAGGTAGTCGTGAGTTCAATCCCCCGGTACCGATAAAAAGACAAAAAACAAACAAACAAACAAACAAAAAAAACACAACAGGATGTGAGGACTACAGAGAGCTGACAGTCTTCAGCTGCCACCTTTGGAATCTATCACAGCACTCACCCTGAGGCTGCTCTCCAAGGCTACCAGCCAGTGACTGACCAGAGTGGGAGTGCCACAGCCAGGCTATTTGTGCCCATGCTAGACTCTTTCAGAGGGACAATCTCTGCCTGGCTGAGATTTCCTCAGCACTATGATGAGGCTCCTTCTGCTCAATCTTCTCTCCTTTCCTCAGTCAGACTGCATCCCAGCTTTCCTGCCTACTCTGGCTTCCTTGCTTGGTTATCTTTTTTGGGTCATTTTTCTAATAAATCTCTTGCATATTTAATTCTAAATCAGCACCTGCATCTTAGAGTACCAATATACCACCACCCCCATTTTACTGAAGAAGAAACTGAGGTGATTTATATACCTAAGGTCAAATAATTAGGATTCAAACATACATCTTTCTCTGATCCCAGAGCCCAATTTCTTAACCAACTGGTTAAAGATCAAGGAATATGTGCTGACACACTTTGTAGAGTAATACCATAAAAATTCACATAACTGTACAGAAGAAGCACTACTTTATCTCAGAAAGTCACTCCATCGTCAGCAGAGTGACACTGTAGGTAGATGAATCTTTCAATCTTGTTTTCTTATTTTGTTTTTGTGGCACTGGGGAATGAACTCAAGTTCTCATGCACGTTAGACAAGCACTCTACACTGAGCTATAGCCCCAGCCCGCCTCACACAATAATCAAAATGAGATTCTCCTTCAAGAAAAAAAAGGCAAATACAATATGTCAACTGATGATTCTGCTAGCTGCAGAGAATGTATAAGTGCCTAACAGCACTTCAGATGGAACAAAATCACTTCTCTCAAATAGATGCCTAAAATGATAATGTGATAGAGAAAAACTCTAAAGACACCCTCTAATATAGTAAGTCCCCAATTTATGAATGAGTTTCATTCCAGGAGAACATTTGTAAGTCGGATTTCTTTTTTTTTTTTCCTTTTTATCGGTACCAGGGATCGAACTCCCGACTGCCTGCTTTCAAGGCAGGTGCTTATGCTGCTGAGCTAAATCCCCAGTCCCCTAGTCGGATTTATTTCTAAGTCCAATAGAGTGAATCTTATGTAGTACACCTGGAAAAGTTTGCAACTTGAATGTTTGTAAGTTGGGGACTTACTGTAAATGCTTTTCTGCCTTAAGATTGTCTCTGATTTGTGCACAATGTCCCAGAACCTGTTAAGAGTACCTGGCACACATTAGGCATTCACTAAATAACTGTTAAATGAGAACAACTTCACAAAGTTCTCGCATTAGCACCTTTCTGTCCTGAGCAACTGACCAAAAATCTCCCACATCCTGAGGTGCAAAACTGAATGAGTACCTGGCAATTCATGTTGTCCTCTGCTTCAATGAGCTTCCCTCGATAGACTTCACCAGTGTTTGTCTCACATGTTACAATGTGGCCCTCCGCCTCATGCAGGACTTTAATTGGCACACCAATAGACATCTTGACAGGGCGACAGTTCTGTAGTGAGAGAAACAAAAATCAGTTTATTGTTGAGAGACCTGAAAAAGCTTGGCATTCCAGAAAACTGTACAAAGATGAGTCAAACAAAATCTTAACACTCACTAGGTGTGGTGGTATACACCTGTGATCCCAGCACCTGGAGGTTAAGGCAGGAGGATTGCTGTAAGTTCAAAGCCAGCCCAGGCTACATAGTGAGTTCAAGGCCAGCCTAAATTACAGTGAGACTCTGACTCAAAAACAAACAAACAAAAACAGAAGAAAAACTTAACATGCCAAAGCTTTATTTTTCTATAGAAAAAAGTCATTTCCTGACTTGGAAAACTCTACATGGTAAAATATGCAAAAAAAAATTTTTTTTAAATCTGTACCAGGGATCGAAATCATGACCACACGCTCGAAAGGCAGGCGCTTATGCCGCTGAGCTTAAATCCCCAGCCAAAATATGCAAAATTTGATGTGGGCAGGGTAGTAGGCTAAAGAGAGGGGAACACTAACAAGAAAAAAAATGTCCCCCTTCCCCCTTCCACTATATGTCCCTTTATCAAAACCATTAACCAATATAGTTTGTATGTTGCACAGGAGGGGACTGGAACACATTTGCCAAACCACAGTTGTGGGATACTCCAGTTTGAGAATCACGATATACATTTGAACTGCAGTCACTATCTACATATAGCTATTTAAATTAAACAAAATTAAAAAAATCGAATTCTCAGTCACACTAGCCATAAACCAAGCTCAACGACTACATGTGCCTAGTGGATATAGTACTAAATGACATAGAGACTAACCAAATGACCCAGACAAATCTAGGAAAGAGGTCGTTTTCAAATGAAGCCCTTTGGCCCCCCCACTTAACTTTCCTACCAAAGCTACAAAGAAAATATCAAAGTGTTCACACAATCCAGGAAAGTGCCTGACTTATAGTTTTAAAAAGACTCTTTAATCTAAAGAGATAGCTGATTCAAGATTGGAACATATTACACCAGCATGAGACAAAGAACGAAGATGAAGCTGGCAAAGACAGGCTTCCTGATGAGGGTCCATGGCTTTCAGCTTTAGAATTCTGTGCTTTACACAGAAGACAGCGGGGAGCTACTGCAGGATTATAGGTAAGGATATAAACAGTGAAAAAGTAGAAGCGTGTACAAAATGAGTAAAACATGAAGTTTAAAAATAGAGAAACTTATTATTCTTGCAGTGTGGAAAGCACGAAATCACTGCCAGAAAGGAGACTGGGGGCAGAGATGCAAAGAACGCCATAAAGGACGACCCAGTTAGAGCTCCTGGGAAAGCAGTTGTTATACAAAAATAAATTCAAGATTATTGCCTGAAAGTTTCGAAAAACAGTTATCTGGAGAGGTACAGAAAGTGAAAGCCATACACTTTTGGGGAAAGCTAGTAAGTGTTAAAAGCGCTAGTAAGGCGAAGCCAGGGTTTGGATGGCTCCAGCTTCACCTTCTTTTCCCTCCCCAGTCTCCTGGACTCCACAGTAGCGAGGCCTTCTCTAGACCCACAGGGACCTCGACCTTCCCTGGCCCACCTGAGGTCTTTTTTCACCCGCTGCGGTCTCCTTTCCCTCCTCCTCTTCGGCGCAAGCAACTAACACAGGAGATACGACGAGAAAGGCGTGCAGAAGGCGAATGGCGAACCCCGCGCTCCCAGAATACCACACGTTCCCAAAATGCTGTGCGCAGCGCTCTTCCCTTTCCTTTCCCCAGTGGTAAACGCAGTCTAACCTCATTCCGCCGGGTGGGAAACAAAGGCTCTGATACTATAGTTCCGGAACGGGAAGGGAGGAGGCTGATGACAGCCTGGGGGCCGCTGGAAACACTGACTCTTGAGCCAGCATGGGAGCTCCGGGGCTCGCCCTGCCAAGCAACCCACATCAAGGACGGGATGGTGATGGCAGGCGGGGATCTGGGTCCTGGGCCTTCTGATCAGAAGCAGCAAAAAGTGGAGAGAAGAGGTGGAACTCCCATCGCGATTTAACCTTTGAATCCCATCACCACCAGGTAAGGGGTACCCCTCAGCGAGGCGAGGTAACTCATCCTATAGGTGGAGAAACAGGTGTGGAGGGAAACTGGCCCGGGGCAATGGGGAAAGGGTTGCTTGGAGCCTCCGTGAGGCATTAGCGGGATCAGAACTAACAGTTGAAGCTGCAAACGTCCAGGCCGGGCGGCGGCGGAGTTAGTAAAAGGGCAGAGTCTCTGAGGACCCAGTGTTCGCTGTACGCCGGGGCTTGGAGGCGGGACTCGAGGAAGGGGCGGGGTTCTGGGGATTACGTCGCGGAAGGGCCTGCGCGTCGGCTCAGAGAAGCGGGGCCGCCTAAAGCCGAGACTCTAAATGGCCGGGGCGGGCTAAAATCGGGAGGCTGGGGCCTTTAGAAACTGAAATCTGAGAGGGGGAGAGGCGGGGCCAAGAAAGGGGCGTGGCCTCTGCATCCAAGACCGGGAAGGGACGGGGCGGGGCGTGGGGTGGCCCATCTGCCGACTCAGGCAGAGCAACTCGACACGCGTTGGCTTTGCTGCCGTATCAGCACAAGTCGAAGGTGCAGCCGGGCTCGGACCGGGGCCATGGGCGCCCCGCGCTGCCCAGGTCATGAGGACGGAGGCGGAGGCAGCGAGGGCGCAGCTCGATCCCGGTCAGTGTCTCTCAGAGGGCCCAGCTCTCATCCCGGGTACCGAATGGGACTCCGCCCCAGCATAGAGCAGGGTCCGGCTGCGCGACCTTGGACTGACTGTCGCGACAGCCCAGATTGTGAGCTTGGAGCGAAACCTGCCTAGTTGGACATTCCCGCCCCGGCCCCTTCCCCCAGCCTGTCTTCATCTGGCGTTTCCTGATATTCCTGGGGCTGGGACCCCAGTCACAGCGGTCAAGAGGGAGGGTCTGGGTGGCAGGGTCTCTGTCTTCCCCAGAAATTATTAGTCTTCCCCGGAAATTATTAGCCCCAGAATTATTAGTCACCTTGGGAGATACATGTGGAGCGAGCAGCTGAGGCCAAGAAAGGGAGGAAACTGCCTGAGAAGTACTCAGTCATGGGAGGACCCTTTCCCCTGCCCCCCACCCCCAGCATGGAGTCTTGCTGCAAGTTCTTCACTCTTACTTCTGCCCTGAGAAAGATAGAGCCCCTTGCTCCCCACAGCTCCAGAAATAGGGGAAGAAGGGCAATTACGCTGGATCTTCTTTGGGGCAGAGACAAGACTCACGTTCAGTCTCAGACCTGGGTTTGCTTGTCCAAGAAGTGGGAGAAGGAGGAAGTCATGATTCCTGTGCTGAGGCACGGAGTTGATGTTAGTAACCTGTAAGGTGAGGTGCCAACTCATAGGAGAGGTCCAAGGCACCAAAGGTGTCAGTGGGACTGTGGCATCACACCTGGGCTGTGGTCTCTTTTGTGATTGCAGCATGGAATAGGTACTGATCCTCCAATTATCTAACATTGTGATGTTTGACTAAGTACTTGCCTTTCTGAGCCTTGGTAGAGCAGTGGCTCTGATTTGTAGGGACCTTTTCTGTGAGGCAGGTGTAGGGCTAAATTGTTTATATGCCATGCCTCATTAAATCTCATTACAGCCCAGTGAAGGAGGTTATTGGTGTTATATGCAGTTTGGCAGAACAGCAGACCAAAACTGAGAAGGGTTAAGTGTCCAGGGACAGTGGGTGGGCAGCCACCAGTTGTAGCCAGGCCAGGGCCTTCCAGGCAAAGACCAGCTCTCTAGTAGGGTAGTCCCTTGGGTCCAGGGACTAACATGTGGCAGCTTTGGGCTTGGAAGGGTAGAGTTGTTATCAAGACAAGTGCCAAGGTCTCGCCTATGCTTGTCGCCGCCCACGGGAACATCTCCACATGGGCCGCCCTGCCCACACACCAAGACTGGGATGGCCATATGGGGACGTTTACCCTGTGGGGCCTTAGGATCAAGGCACTCTAGGGCTCAGGGCGAGAAAAGGAGAGATGGCTGATTCTCTGGGGCCCTAAAGAGCAATTTTCCTGCCAACATTTTTAGCTGGGCATAAGGGAAGGCATGAACAGAGTCACAGCCCAGCAGAGGATGGCCCAGTAGTCAGTGCCAGAGGCCAGGACATGGAGAAAGGAAAGATCCTCCAACAAAAGGCTGTCTCCAGAAGCCTGGGACAAGAGGCACTGCAGTGACAAGTTGTGACAGGCATCTCAAGGGATGAGGCCTTTTTGAAAAACTATTCACCAAGCACGTCTGAATGTCTGTGGTGAGCTAGGCATGGTGGCACAGGCTTGTCATCCTAGCACTTAGGAGGCTGAGGTAGGAAGAGCACTTTGAGTTCAAGACCAGCCTGAGCATAGCTGAGACTCTGTCTCAAAACAAAACAACACTGAATATGTGATGTGGGTTGAGGGCTGGGAGGAGACAAACATAGTCTTATACCAACCTGCAGCCCGAGTTCTCAGTGTTTCTCAGTCTGTTTAGTGGGGAAAGCAGATGTCACCTCAAGGACTCTAGTTTCAGAGCTCTTAGAGAGAGATGAACTGGAGCATTTGAATGCTCAGAGATGGGAGAGAACATTTCAAGCTACATTATGCAAGAGCATAAGCAGGAGAGTAATCAGCCTCAGGAGAGAAAGCAAGGCCATTTATAGCCACCATGAGGGCTTCTGGAAAGGGAAGACACCCACCATGATAGCACCACACCCTGCAAAGAGCTCCACCCAGCCTGTTGTGGGGAACTACTTTAGAATATTACTTCCTAGAGATCCGGATTAGTCTTTGGTCACATTTGTATGCCCAGAGCCTAACACACAGTAAGCACTTAATAAGTTCATTTTTCTAATCAGTAGTAAGTTATTGAATTACTACTGAGCATCAGACACCAGGCACTGGGAATAACAGTGAACAACATGACCATGTGCCTTGCTTAGTCCATTTGTACGGCTGTAACAAAATCCCTGAGGCTGAGGTAATTTGTAGACAAGAGTAATTTAATTTTTCACAGTTCTTAGAATCCAGGATCAAGGTGCTGGCAGGTTCAGTGGTAAAGGCCCATTCTTCAATATTGGAAAAGGGAGGAACTCTGTGTCCTCACACAGCAGATCGGAATGGGGCAGGAGGCCTGAGTTAGTTCCTTCTGACCCTTTTATAAAGCTCTGATCCACTCAAGAGGAATCACTTCCTCCCAAAACTACCTTTTAATACCACCACAATAAGGATGATATTTAAATATGAATTTTGGGGAAATGTGTTCAGACCATAGGACCTGCCCTAGTCTAGTGGTGAGACAGTGTCTTCTTTTGTCATTGCTTTTGCTAAACATGGAAGAGGCTCCCTCACTTCTCAAAAGGCATAGTCAGGAAAAAAAAATTCACAGAAGAGATTTTAAACTAGGACTTGAATGGCAAGAACAGCAGAAATTGCAGATAGAAGATACCATCCATTCAAAGGCCCTGGGGTAGAATGAGCACTTCTGGGTTTACAGAGCAACAGGCACAGTTTAGAGCTGGGATGGTGAGCCCAGGTTGAGCAGGGACCCTCAGAACCTCAAGAAGTGAGACCTTTATTCTGAGAGCAGTGGGAAACTGAATGAAATTCCTTAGGCTGCTGTGCAGAGACAGAAGAGGGGTAGAATTCCAGAGAGGATAGGCAGGACTGAAATCGTGGCAGTTGTAGGAAGCAAATGTGCAAATGTCTTGAACGAAGAATTCAGGTTTCTTGTAGAGGTGCCTGGGAAAGAGAAAGGAACTGAAGCTTCAGCTCTGCCGAGGCTCAGCACACCAGTTCCACTTGGAGGAAAGGCCCATGTCAGCAGTGCAGAACCCCTAATGGATGCTGTTGTCCTGAGTGCTCAGGCACGGTGCCCATCTGCAGCACCCAGTTCACAGAGGAGGGAGGCACAGAGAAGTCAGTGGATTCAGCTAGCAGGCGGCCTGCCTTGCTCATGCCTTCCTGCCTTCCTCCAGCTTCCTACACACCCGTGGAGGGCCCTGGCGCTTGGAAACATGCAAACTGCCCAGCAGCACGTAGACAAACTTCATGCAAAAGTTTGTGAGCCGAAGCATGAACTCAGGTCTGGAGGAATACACCTGAGGGACAGGCCCTGGCCAGCCTGGGATTTCAGAGCCAGGCTCTGAAAACTGGGAAGGTTCGGTTTAGGAGGGTGAAAGTTTGAGACTTGAACCAAGACAGGAGGTCCAAAAGGGCAGCACGAGCTCCCCGCTGCTGAGTAGCCCTCACACGTGCTGGGGCGCAGTGGGGCTGCTGACCTGGCCTCCTGCCGTGGTTCTGTACAGAGCAGCCAGGCGCGCTGTCCGGGAGAGGCCCAGAGACCCTCAAGATGGGAAGAGCACCCAGCTGGGACTTCAGGTGCTGAATAGGTGTCATAGTGAGCAGGAGTGGTGACCCGTACAGAGAAGTCCCTTGTGGTTTTTCAGAGCCTGAACTTTGTCCAGATTCCTGGGTAGCAGAGCAGGAAGACCCCGCAGGCCTCCTGCCGGCTTGGCCTGGCCTGAGGGCCTCCGCGCAGGCTGTTGGTTCCCTGTCTGCCTTGTGCTCCCCATGCACCTTTCTGGGCACGCCGCCACCATTTTGCCAGCCTGGGCTGCTGACTATCTCTCTCACTCTGTCTTTGTCTCTTTTGCTTTTTAAAAAATTTTTATTAGTACAGTTTAGATATGCGTAGTAAGTGTCATCACAGGAAATTTGTACCCTTCGTGGTATATCTTACTTCCCCTTTTTAGCCATTCCCCTCCCCTCCTTTTAACCCCTCTTCCCCTCCTTATCCACAAAAATTTTGTTTCCGTTTTCTTCTTCTATTCTCTTTTTTTTTGTCCTTCCTTTCTCCCTCCTCCCTTTCTTGTTCCCCTTCTCATTCGAACGTTTCCCAATATTCATTTTATGTTTTGATCTTTATTTACTTCTTTGGTTTCTCACACCAGAGAAACAATGACGTATTTAAACACATGTGCCCAATTTTTTTCACTTAAGAGTATGGCTCAAGGTGCATCCATTTAGCCAGAAGTGTCTTATGTTTATCCTTCTTTATGGCAGAGTAGTACTCCATCATAGGGGGAAAACCCCACATCTCTATCCATTTATCAGTTGATGGGTACTTGGGTTGTTTCCATGATTTTGCTGTAACAAACTGTGCTTCTATAAACCTGGTGGCTATTTCTTAATTTACTAGTTTTTACTGTCACCAGGACAAGGACCTCACTCACTCAACATTCCACTGCAGCACATGTCCAGGCCCTTACTTGGAAAATATTTGTCAGTCCAATGACCAAATCAGGTCAAAGGTCTGTACCTCACGATGGCCACACTGAGTTCAGTGAGAGGAAGTCCAATGGCAGAGCTGGGACTGGAACTCCCAGATCAGGTCCTTTCTGTCCCACCTTGCAAGGCTGCCAAGGACAGACTGGAAGGTTGCCCAGCGACAGTGGTGATGGAGCTCCCTCCCGGGAATAGTCCACATGTATAGTTTGCATGGCAGCTCCTCCTCCTAGCTGGGGCCTTCACATGTTGGTGGTTAGAGTTAGGTAAACCTCCTAAAACCTGGTGAACTTTAATCTGCTGTGAATGCACCCATGTGTCAGCTTTGGTCTGAGAGCAGGCAGTGAAACAGCCCCAGTCCCTGCCTCTTAAAAGAAAGGCCCTAAGGGAGAGGCGTGAGTATTCAGTAAGCTTGAGGGTTGCCAGGCAGCCCTCAGAAAAGTGAAGGCAGGAGCCAGCAGCATCCAGGCAGAGGGAGCGGGTATGCAAAGATTCCTGGGGGTGAGGGATGGTGGTAAGTACGGGTTCTGCCTTCAGGGCAGGGAGGCAGCAGAAGATACCATGGCAGCCGCAAGGAAGGTACTGTCCTGAGAGGTGCGGGAGCCAGTCCACTGGAGGATTTTGAGTAGGCCGGACCTGCTCTTGCTGGTGTTTTTTGGGAAGTCACTGGCAATGAAGGAACAATGAAGGACGGTGCGAAGGCCCATGAGCCCCAGCAGGATCTACACAGACAGCGATGATGGTGTCTTCAGTGGGGTGGCAGTGACAGGCTCTGTGCTGAAGGCTGAGGCTGCCCTCTGTTTCCATGCAGGGGACTTTGTACAGCTGCCTGTGCCCATCATTCAGCAGCTCTACCACTGGGACTGCGGCCTGGCCTGCTCCAGGATGGTGCTGCAGTGAGTAGATGGGCCCAGGGCTGGGGGCCCCGGTCTCCCCTGTCTCTACCATCTCCTGTGACCTGGGTGGGAGTCTTCATCGTGTAGCTGTCTTCGGCTAAGGCTTGCAAGAGGACTAGCTTCCGTGGGTCCTGTCCTATCTGCAAATGTGAATAAAGGGTGGACTAACTCATTCAGATCTCTACTCAGATAATGTCTGGGAGCTCAGGGGGCAGGAAACCCTAGGGGCATAGGGCTGCCTGCAGAGAAGCTCTGTGGCTGGAATAGGGTGACCTCCAGCCTCCCATCCTCAGGCTCCTGAGAGGTTGCTGAGCTGAGGCCGCATGAGTATGTATAGGAGCCTTAGAGGTTCACGAGGGACAGAGCCTTCTGAGGAGTGGGGGCTCTGACAGTAGCTGTCAGGTCCATGGGAAGAAGGTGACCTGGCCCAGCCCTCCTCAAGAGCGAGCTGACCTCCTCAGCTTGTCTGTCTGCAGGTACCTAGGCCAGCTGGACGATGGTGAGTTTGAGAGCGCCTTGCAGGAGCTGCGGCTGACCAGGAGCATCTGGACCATTGACCTCGCCTACCTGATGCGCCATTTTGGTGTGAGGCATCGCTTTTGTACTCAGACCTTGGGAGTGGACAAGGGCTACAAGAATCAGGTGAACAGCCGGCCAGTGGGCCTTCTCACTTGGGGCCACAGAGAGGCATAGGCTGTCCAGTTGTAGAAGTTGTAAGAGAGGGTAATCCAGGCGAGGGCATCCAAATGGACCCAGAAGTGCAGAGACTGGGCAGTGGCAGATGGGCTATCACCAGGATTTACAAGCCAATCCGAGAGGTGACCTTGGTGTTCGCCTGCTTGGAATGTTAAGCACTGGGTTCTGGCTCCTGCCTGCCTTCCCAGATGCTCGGAGGATATGCGGGCAGCATCTGACGTTCTGCATTCTTTGTACCATCACCCCAGCCCGAGGCAGGCCGAGGGCCATAGAGCACGTAACTCTGATCTCACATGGCCGTCATTTCCCCGTTTGTGTTTTTGTTTTGTAATGCTGGGGATTGAGCCTAGGGCTTGTTCGTGCTAGGCAAGTGGTTTGCTATTGAACTACACTTTTGCTTTGCTAGATCTGGCTAACTTGTTTAGACTGACCTTGAACTTATAAGATCCTCCTGCCTCAGCCTCCTGAATGGCTAGGATTCTAGGCACACACAACTAGGCTTGGCACATTTGCTTGTTTTCTTTCCAGGACAGGCAGCTCTAAGCTTGGCATTTGGCATTCTGAAATAAAAGCCAATATTATCTTTCCTTTCTTTTTCCTTTTTCTTCCCCTTGAAAAATAATGCCAACCTGGATGGCTGTGCCAGCATGCCAGTGTGTTGTGCCTCCATGCAAAGCTAGGGCCAGTTTTATCTGCCTCTAAGCAGATCTTGGCCCAGACTTTAGAACTCGGCAAAGTAGAGTCACTGGTACCCTTATTGGTGAAAAGGCTTTCATGTGGTGGCCAGGGCCAAATCAGGCTAACTCTCCTGTGAACCCTCCAGGCCAGGGAAGAGGGCTGATAAATCCAGCCTGGCTGAGGCAGAGACACGGGCCTGAGAAGCAGGTTCTCTTCAGGCATGAAGAGGAATCATGGGGGAACAGGGGACCCAGGGGGCTCTGTACCAAATAAAGTATGTTCAGTGGACCATGCTGGAGGATGATCTGAGCCTGGCCACTCATCTCAAGTGTCCTCTTCACTCCTCTGTTGCTCCTCTGCCCTCCCTGGTGTGGGACAAACGCAGCTTTCTGTCTAGACGCAGCGCCCCACAGCCGGGCTCCTGTGCCCTCCCACATCTCTTGCTATAATGCACTCTGCTGCGTCCCAGCAGCGCGAGGATAATTAGGTAGATTCACTCCAGCCTGTCTTTCTCCAATCAGTCCTTCTACAGAAAGCACTTCGACACAGAGGAGACCCGGGTGAACCAGCTGTTTGCGCAAGCCAAGGCCTGCAAGGTGCTAGTGGAGAAATGGTGAGCCCCTGCAACCCGTTCTTCCTTACACGGCCCCTAACCATAGGGACACTTGCAGCTGAAGGGCTGCTCAGAATGCCACTTGGAAAGGACCCCAACTCTGGAGTCGGGGGGAGTTGGGGTTTCCTACCCCAGTAGCTGAATACACTGAGTTGCCTCTCTGAGCCTTGGTTTTTCCATCCATAAGATGGGGATGCGTGGGGCTGTGTAACCCCACTGACTTGACTTCTGAGCAGGTACTGGAGGGACAGGCAAATGATACAGACTGTGGTCAGCCCTCAGACTGCTCACAGGGTTCCTGGGGCCACTCGCAGATTTTCCTTTACTGTGCAGATTTGTGTTTTCATCATTAATGTGATGTCACCACATGATAGATGATTTGGAAAAAGGGGGAACATCCTTTGACCACGTTAGTATATGTTAGAAGGAAAGGCAGCAGATGTTTATTGAGGGGCTCCCCATGGCTGCTGTCTCACTGACTGGAGAAGACGCGGCCGTGTGTGACCCTAACCTGCAGCATCCACGCGTTATTCCATGAAGTACAGTGTTCCCTGCCTGCCTGCTCTGCTTTTTTCCCCCGTAACTGAAGTGCTTCCCTTATATGCCTCATTGGGAACACTGCCAACTCTTCCACATAGAAAAATAGCAGGTTTCCTCGGCCAAGGCAGCAAACCAGATTTCCACGTGACTCAGCGGAGGCCGAGCTATGCCAGATTCATGGCATTGATGCTGCCAGTCCTAAAGAGAGAGTTGATGAAGGTGGGCCCCAGGTGGGCCCCTTCAGCAAAACGTTGCTGCTCCTAGCCTCGGCCTGCCCCAGCCCCTTCTGTCCCCTGTAAGTTTTCACTTGAATTTGCTGCCTGCTGAGGTGTAGAGAGCAGGACAGTGCCTGTGAGTTTGTCTCTGGGCTGTCTCTGCTGAACTGGCCCAGTCTAAGTGATATCTTTTGCTACAGGGAACCTTGGGGGAAAGAAAAAGAGAGAGAGAAAGAGAGAGAGAGACGCCCTTTTAGAAAAGCCTTTGGTTTGGAATCTGACGGAGCCAAGCTTGGCTCCGATTTGAGGAAGTGAGTTGGAATTCCAGCTGCTTCTCTAGTAGCCCTGACCTGGACCATCTGGAGCTGTCTGCCTGCTCCCTCTTCCTGACAGGCCCAGCTGGCCCCCTGCTCTCTTAGACATCACCTCGCTCCCACCCCACCCCTGTATACTGGTCCTCTGGTTGGGCCTGGGTTGAACCCCAGCTAAAATGATAAGCAAGGACTTTTCTAGGTGTATATATGCAAGGAGCTCAGGGCGGAGGGAAGACAAGCCATGTTCCTAAGCTTTGTAGCACAGAGGAATGGGCAGTGAAGGAGACCCGCCCACTAGCCGGCCCCTTCCCACCCGCAGCACGGTGAACATCCAGGACATCCAGGCGCACCTGGCTCAGGGCCACGTAGCCATCGTGCTGGTGAACTCAGGGGTGCTGCACTGTGACCTGTGCTCCAGCCCCGTCAAGTACTGCTGCTTCGCCCCCAGCGGACACCGCTGCTTCTGTCGCACCCCGGACTACCAGGGCCACTTCATTGTGTTGCGTGGCTACAACAAGGCCACTGGCTGCATCTTCTACAACAACCCAGCCTACGCAGACCGTGAGTGCCGGGAGCAGGGTGGCCTGGGCGGTGTGCAGTCGCCGTCCTCCGCTCTACCCCACAGCTTCCTCCCATTCAACCCACTGTGGCCAAGATCTTCCTCTGCCTTTCCCCAGAATTCCCGCTCCTCCTGGATTCCGGTCCCCTTGACTGCCTGCTTCAGCCAGGCGAGCAAATCAGCCACAAACTCGCAGTCGTGCTGAGCCATAGCTGCCCCACCACCTCCACTACCCAGGTCCCACTCCAGTCCTCCCGGGACGGAGAGCACAGTCACTAGAAAGTCTGGCAAGACCTGGCTCTAGCTCCAAACTTTCCTCTGTCCTCAGGGCACAGGGAAAGGCTGCTTCCCTGATCTGTCCATGTGGCTCCGAGCATATTTCTTCCTCTCTCTGGGCCTCATTTACTTCATCTGCTAAACAGGGGAGGCATTAGAGAAAACTTTGTGAAGGCCAGAAAAGGCAAGGAGGGCTTTCTGGAGGTGGAGTGCTTGAGCCGAGAGGGTGGGGCACAAACCGCGTGGCTCCCATGGGTGCTGGTGGGAAGAGCACTCTCTCTTCAATCACTGACCCCACTTTTTCTCTCCTTGTCCCCGAAAGGGATGTGCAGCACCAGTATCAGTAACTTTGAGGAAGCCAGAACCAGCTATGGCACGGATGAGGACATCCTCTTTATTTATCTGGATAGCTGACATCAGGAACTGGTTGTGCCCAGGTCCTTGGACCTTACACCCTACCCCTGCCAAGCCCACTCAGGACACCCAGGCCTGGGGCTGCTGGGACTTGGAGCCTTAGCCTGTCTGACAAAGTCCCATGGAATTCTGGGAAACTGGCACACCTGCTTTGTCCACCAGTGCTGTGTTGTCATGCTGCTTACCCCAAGCCCCTGTTGGTTGCTGGAGGCATCCTCAGACAGCCAGAAGGAAGCCTCCCCCAAGATATCAACCCTGAGTCCAGTCAGGTCCAGAGGAAGTACAGGCCTAAGGGTGCCCTGTTGCTTCCTAGATAGAACCAAGGCGAGGGGAGAGGCCTGAGTCAGTCACCCCCACAGACCTCAGGAACTGGAGAGAGAAGTCTCTTGACCTGGTGCCGCTCATCAGGACAGCTTCTACATGTGTAGAGTCCAGTCCAAGCCCCTGGAGCTGTACTGTGCTAAGCCCTGGTCTCCTGGAAGTGTTCAAGAGCCCCCTGTTCTCATGGTGGATGCCATCACCACTGCCTCCTTCCTCCTAGTGGGTGCACATTTCTGTGACTTGTTACAGGGTCTCTGGCTCTTACTGTATAGCATAGAGGCACCAGATAGCCACTGTGCTCTGCAGTGTCCTGGCCCCTGGGGATGCTGGGGCTCCTCACAGCCCCAGGTACTACGCTTCCGTAGGGTAGGGCTTCCTCGGTAGCGGCTGGGCGCTCCACCTGCTGCTGTGCCCAGTGCTGGCGTTGGGGAGCGTGCTTCCAGAATAAGCAGCTGCACAGCCCTAGTGCCCCCTCCCTCACATACACAAGGCCTCCTGACACCAGCCTAAATCATGACAGTGGAGCCTCCCGGGAATGTGGGGAGCCCCAGGTCTCTTAAGGCTGGATGCCAGGGCCTGCACCCTTGATTCAGTAGGAAAAGGGCAGTCTGCAGCCACCTCCCACCCTGGTTGTCACATCAGGACGTTCTGCATAGAGCACTGGATCTCTTGTCTTGATAGAGAGGAGCAATGCCTCCCCAGGATCACCTAGCACCTCCAAATAGCATCAGCTGGAGCTAGTTCCTTCCTAGTTTTTTTTGTTTTGTTTTGTTTTGTTTTGGTTTGGGATATTTGGTGGAGCAAGTTTGTTTTGCATTACTTGAGACTGAGCCTAGGACCTTCATACTGAGTGATATCACCAGCCCTTTTTAAAATTTCAAAACAGGGTTTTGATAAGTTGCCCAAGCAGAACTCAGACGTGCGATCCTTCTGCCTCAGCCTTTTAAATGCCTGGATTACAAGCATTCACTATGGCACCCAGCTTATTTTATTGAGATTTTTAAGTTCTCACTTTTGGAATAATAATGAGATTGCAGGTACTTTGGAACCACTGACACCTCTTTTCACATGGCAGTTAAGCCAGCCTATGTTTTCTTTCAAAGCAAAGGAGGCGGGCCAGTGAATCCCACACCCCTTGCTTTACAGAGCAGGCAGCCAGCCCAGACTGGGGACAGTCTGCCATGACTGTGGGTCTTGAACCCAGGTCTGCACGTAAGACATAAGGGAAGTGGAGCGTCCCTACAGAGGCGGGGACCCCACACCTCTTAGGTTCCCTTTGGCAAAGAAACAGGTGTACCCCAACAGCCCCACCATTCTTTCACTCCTGGGGCTTGGTCTCCAGTGCCCGAGGTGTAACGAGCTGCCAGCCCCCAGTGCCATCATGGTAGCTCAAAGGGGCAATGGTGGGTTTTGCTTACAAGGGCTGTCAGACCACTCAGCCGTACTGTTCCTCAGCACCAGATGCAGCCTTGGGCCAAGGTGCCGTTAGCTAGGCAGCCACCTGGGGTTTGGAAACCTGTGCTGGCTTCAGTCTGGTCTTATTTCCATGGCCTTAATGCTGGATGGCCAGAAGTCCCAGGGAACTCTGGCTCCAAGCCCAAGAGTACTACATATGGCAGCTGGGGGGTGTGGGCATCCCCAGGAAAAATTCAGGTAAAACTGTGAGAATAATCATATAAAAGAAACCAAGAGGAGGAAGTAAAGCTTTGAAGATGACCGGACGTGGTAAGGCATAGCACACATACTGATATGGCTGTCCGGAGAAGCGGTTTTCGCTGAAAGTGGTCAGGGATATTCAAAAGTCCCTGCACTCAGATGATGGCTTCATGGGCAAGTTACAAATTAAACAGAGGTCACTCTATGATTTAATAAGACACTGCCTGTCCCCAGGACCCATCTGCCTGAGGAGGGTCACAGAGGCAGAATGCAGGCCACAGTATTCTTGCACAAGTACAGAAGTCGGGTGGGAGAAAGCCCAGACATCGAGGACTTTGTCCACAACTGCCCAGCCTGCGGTCACTCTGCAGCCCAGTGCAGCCTTGGAAGCCACAGGGGACAGTAGCCAGCATTGTCGCGTGAACTGTGGGGGGACAAAAGGGATCTTTTGCATTGCATAGATTTTATACATAAATATATTTTGTTTGTAATGAGCCATTCTCAATAAACATCGTTCTCACTGCACAGTGGTTGCAGCCCTTGGCTGACCTTTGTGAAGCAGCATTGATCTGTAGAATTCCTGTCTGCTCACCACATTCTTAGCACAAGCACGTAGGAACCTGGGACCTTGACCTGCCATTCCCAGTTTTAGCTGGTGTGAGATCCAGTGTTTTGTGCTTCAGGCCCAAATTCCTGCATTCAGGACAAGCAATGTGCCTAGAACAGTTTCAGGGCTCAGACAGTCTTGAGGAGTGTGGGGAGGAGCTGCTGTCTGGGGTAGGGAACTAAGAAAAGATAGCGGGGCCCAGGAAGGACTGGAGAGTGACCCGGGTGGGCAGGACCCGAGCCTTCCTGGAACCCTCCACCCCCAACCGCAGCTCCACTGATCTGCCAGCTAGTGGCTACTTCTAGTGTTTCACCTGATGACTTTATTTCAAATTCTGCTTCTGAGAAAGGAAGTGTTTAGAAATCCTGGATGACTAGCAGCTTCAGGGTTGTACCTGTTGCCCCTTGAGGGGGCTGAGGGAGCCACAGGGGCCTCTTGGTAGGTCTGGGCCTCTTAACTAATATGCCCTTGTTAACTCCTGACCTCTCCTGACTCTTCAATCTTAATTTTATTTTTTAGACAGTTTCACTATATAGTCCAGGCTGGCTTTGAACTCACAGTCTTCCTGACTCAGTCTTGGGTGTGGATATACATTAGCAGACTTTCTGACCAAGGTCTTGGACTCTTTCCTCTGAACTGCAGAGCAGTCCTGGGCTGATCCCTGCAGAAGCTGCCTGAAGCACTGTCAATGAGGCGCCCAGCTCGATGGCGCCAGTTAGCATCCTGAGTGTTCTCTGTATGTTGCCAACTGCATGTGGACGCTGCTAGCCACCTTGCCCTTTGCATTTTGACTTGAGCCTCCACACACCCTAAAGGAAGGACCTCATCCTGCCATGGGCTTGTGGGCTGCAAGGAACTACCGGCTGCAGTTAGGTGAGACAAATCAATGTTGGCGATGCTGAAGAGGAAGGACAAAGGTGGAGGGTGGACGGACCCAGGCACAGTTGGCCGAAATGTCACCAGAACATACAGGGTAGGGATAGTGCGGGCATAGATCCGGACTCCAGCCAGAAATCAGTTGAGAACCAAAGGGCCAGATCAGAGCAGAGGTCAGAGCCCAAAATACCGTATCAGGGCCAACACTCAGAGGTGAGAGGGTACACTTGTCATCTGACCTTGCTAATCTATTGTCAAGACTGGTTTTTGGTAGACTATGGCACCCCCTTGCCCAGTTGCCTGGGAACTGCCTGTTACACACCACCTCATACAGCCACCTTCTTAGGACCCCCAGTGGTCACCAGAAGCATTGCACCTGGGAAAGGGAGAGACAGGTGCATGAGGTTCCATGGAACCAACAATTTTACCAGCAGAGGCAGTCACACACTGGTTACAGAAGGCATCGTGTGGTCTTACTATCTATTGCTGCATAAGAAATTACCCCCAAACTTAGTAGTTTAAAACAAAAAAAACCTTTAATATCTCACAATTCCTGCGGGTTAGGAATCCACTACTGCTGACCTGAAACCTCTGGCTCAGGGTTTCTCGTGACATCTCAGCCAAGCTGTTGGCTGGGGCTGCGTACTCTCAATGCCAGATGGCCCGGAGCATCTGCCTCCAAGCCCACTTCAAGGATCCTGGCCTTAGGCCTCCTGAGTGTCCTAGTGATGTGGGTGGAAGGCACCATTCTGTGGCTCAGAGTGGAAGCCACAGGGGTTTTTTTTGTTGTTTTTTTTTTTTTTTTTTTTTTGGTCTTTTTCATTTTTATTGGTACCAGGGATTGAACTCATGACTGCCTGCTTGCAAGGCAGGCGCTTATGCTGCTGAGCTAAATCCCCAGCCCCAGGCCACAGGTTTTTAATAACCTAACTTCGGCTGTGACATCCCATCCCTTCTGCAGTATTCTGTGTTAGAAGTGAGCAGTAGCTGAGAGGTTGTTTCCAGTATCAGCAGTGGTCAGTGGCATCAACTTTAAATATGGATGAGTCCTTGACCTTGAGTGAAATGGAAATAGACAGGTCCCAGTCACGGGGCAGGGGGGTAACCAGGTGTGTGTTAGGTACAGAGCCCAGAATGCAGATTTAAGAAGGAGCTCACTCAGCAGAATGGCTGCTTCTAACAGATACTTGCATTTAAGGAAATTGCTGAGATTCACCAAGTATAGAGCAAAGGACACATTTTGGAGGAAGGGAGGGAGGCGGGAGGAAGTTACATCGGTAAACCCAACACACACTGGGGATGACAGGGGGCATGCATACCAAGAGGCAGGTGCCAAGGAGCTGTGGGCCACCTTGTCTAGCACATCCTGAGAAGCGCCCTTCAGAGTGCCAATGGTGAGAAGTGATGTACCATAGAGTCCCCTGGCCAGGCCAGCATGGCAAACACTGCATGCTACAAGTCCCCTTCAGGAGACAGGATATGCAGGAAAGGCTCTGTACAGTCTTGCAGCAAGCAGACCTTGCCTATCATTACTTAGTCACAGAATTTATTTTTATGTGACACTGGAATTCTGTGAGATACACTGAGACTCAGGTCATCAGTGCTCTAGTCAAAGGAGGAGACAGGCACAGAGAGGGACCAGTGACTTCCCACAGCAAGATCCAGACCTGTAATTATTCAGACCTAAGTGACCCTGAGGGGTGAACCCTGCCAGAAGAACCAGGAAGTGAACTCTGTGTTCTGGAGCCAGACATTGGGCCGACGTTGGCCCCCAAGAGCCTGCCCATCAGGTGGAAAGGCTGGCTGGCACCTGGCCTGGCCTAGCTGATGAAGCCTTCAGCTCAGCTGTCCTCCTGGCTTGCCTCTATCTGACCTGGCCTGTGACGATATCCAAGGACACATGTCATGGACTTAGCCCCACCCTCCTGCTTCAGAACAGAACTGAGAAGACCAGGAAACACCAGGATGTCATCCTGCTGAACTACAGGTCCCCCAGGCTGAGTGGTGGGACCCGCATGGATTGAGTATTGACACAAAAACCTTCGGGCCCAGGAATGCAGAGGGAGACTCCCTCAGGCCCAGACCAAGGGCCCCTCCGGCAGCTTCTCCTCCCGCTCCTGCCCTTGGCCTCCCTGTCTTCACCTCTCCCTGGCTGCCTGAATTCTGCCTCTCAGAGCTCTACCCAAGTACCTGCTGAAATCTTGTGCCTCTCATAGCTGGGTGAACTGACTTCCCAAAGCTGTTTAAAGCCTCCTGCTTAACTGGGGATTGAGGTCCACATATTTTTGTTTTATTTATTTTGGGTATTCAGGATAGAACCCAGGACTCCACACACACTAGGCCACTGTGCCTCCTGAGCTGCAGCCCCAGAACTGAATCTTTTTTTTTTCCCCTTTTGCCGCTTTCTCTTTGTGTGTGTGTGTGTGTGTGTGTGTGTGTGTGTGTGTTTGTGTTTGACACAGGGTTTCATTATGGAATTCACTGTGTAACCCAGGCTGGTCTCAAATTTATAGCAATCCTCCTGCCTCAGCCTCTAAGTGCTGGGATTACAGATCTGTGCTACCATCCCTGGCCTGCCTTCCTTCTTTCCTTCCTACCTTCCTTCCTTTCTTTTTCTTTCTTTCTTTTTTGTTTTGAGGAAGGGTCTCCCTATGTATTTCAGGCTGGTCTTGAACTCACTGTGTAGCTCAGACTGATCTTGAATTCGCAGCAACACTCCTGCCTCAGCCTCCCCAAGTGTTGGATTGCAGGGATGGTTGTGGGCCATTTTGCCCAGCTTCCTACACCATAATTTCTCTTCACAGACAACTGGATTCCCTTGGTACCACCCATCTGCTAAAGCCCTTTTCTCCCTTAGGGCCTTTATTCTTCCTATGGCCCCATCCTGTCGCCTCCTGCAGCAAGCACACTGCCCGAATGTCACCACTTTTTAAAGGAGCACCTCAACCACATCCCCTTGTCTGCATCACTTTCCTCTATGCTTGGTGCTCACGAGAATGAGCAGAGTTTTATTTTGGCTCATGGTTTTGACAGGATGCAGTTGTAGTCAGCTGGGCGTGGCACAAGGCTCTGGCAGAGGGGCTCACAGGGTGGAGGCTCCGAGGCAGAACCAAGTGAGGAGCTGGGGAGGGAGACCCAGCACACCCTTTCAGGTCACCCTTCCACCGTGACCAGCCTCTTCCAACTAGACCCTGCCTCTTCAGCCCTGTAGGTGTAGCCCCACGATCCAATCCAATCACCTTGCACACAAAAGGGAATCTGGAGATGGTTTAGATCCACACAACAACTAATCTCTCCTGCTGGAGCCTGAGGACCTGCTGTCTGGGAGATGCTTCATAAATGTCAATGAATGGCGAGTAGGTTCAAGTTATTTTGCTGCCATTTGTTTTTAAGGCAAATTGTCACTGAGTTCCCCACTAGCCTTGGCCTCATGAGTCTCCTGCCTCAGCCTCCTGAGCTGCTGGGATTACAATCCCATACCATCACACTTGGCTGCACACTAGATCTTGAATATCGTGTTTCACAGCTTTGAGAACAACAGGTCATTGTTAGAGGAGAAGCTGAATTTGGACCTTTGAGGTCAGACACAACTCAGCAGACATTCTTTTCTATAAGGAAGAGTGAAAGAGAAAGTGATCCTGTTTTTTTACAGAGCAATTTGTCAGCACAATTAACCTTCCATATCTGTGGGTGCTACATCCTCTTTTTTGTGGGGGTGGGGTATCAGAAATTGAACTCAGGACCTTGAGCTTGCTTGGTAGGCACTGTGCCATTGAGCTGTATCTCTGGCCCTATATCCTCATATTTAGTCAACTGTGGCCTGGGATGGGGATGGGGGTACAAAACAAAACCCCACTTTTTTTTGTGGCACTGGGGATAGAACCCAGGCCCGTGCACATGCTACGCAAGTATCTATCACTGAGCTACCCCCTAGCCTATTTCATTTCATTTAATTTTGAGATAGCATCTCATACAGTTGCTCAGGCTGACTTGAAACTGTTGATCCACCTGATTTAACCTCCAGAGTACCTGGAGGCCAAAA